GCTGCCGAGGAGAGCGAAGCCACCGAGGTAGTGGAGGAGGAGGTGACCCGCAGTGTGCTGCGGCGTCGCGTGACGTTTTCGTACGACGTGTGCGCGGACATGGACCCCCCACCCTCGAGTCTCACGGAGGACGACGTGCGGCTTGACCCTCGGCCGTCCCAGACGGCACAGGAGTTCATGGAGCGGCTCCTCCACACACGATCTGTCACCATCAGACTGTTCGACCCCATGCAGGTACGCATTGCGTTCATGGGTGGGTGGATGGGATGGGTGCACCGACCGGACTCACGGAAGGGACGGACAGAGACCGCACCACCTTCTGTCTGTTGTGCCACTCACTCTGCGTGCGTGCGTGCGGCAGTTGTTGGGCGAGGCGGAGAACGTCAACGGCGAGGTGCTGGCATCCCCGTACGGCCTCTCGTCCGGTGGCGCCAGTCCCCAGGCGCAGCTCTCCTTCATGAGCCTCGCGAGCGGCGGAGACCTCTCACTCTCACTCTCGCCTTCACCACAAGACGCATCAGGTGCAAATGACAACACCACGGACGGAACGGGGCTCAACGCAGCTGCCAATGGGCCCCAGCAGCAGCAGCAACAGCAGCAGGGTGGTGGTGGTGGTGGTGTGGGTGATCGGTCGTCTGACAGCCTCCTGGACGATGCCGGGAAGCGGGGCAGTGTCTTTGAGGGTGGCGGTGGTGGTGGTGGGTTTGGCGCGTTTGGTGGGGGGCAGGCCAGTGCAGACCCCAAGCAGCGGTTCCTCCGCCATTGGACACTGCAGCCCATGGACATCAGACAAATCAGACTGCTCGACGTACGCCACGCGCATCGATCCATATGTGGACGCAGCGAACACCGATGGACTGACTGACGGATGGGCACCGGAACGTCTCTCTCTCCCTCTGTGTGTGTGTGTGTGTGTGCGTGTGTTGTGTGTGCAGTTGGTTGCGTGGGTGTCGTACCAGACCAAGATTCCTTCGAGTCGTCTGCAGGTGACGTGCAGCCCCCTCACAGCACAGGAGCCATTCAGTGCATACCTCTGGAGAAACGGACGCGGCAACAGAGGCGAATCGGACGGCATGGTACGCAGCCAGGCACTAAGGACACACAGACACACAGACAGACAGACAGACAGGTGCACATCCATCCATCCATCCATTGTGTCTGTGTGTATGTGTGTGTGTTTGTGTGTCAGAAGCACACCTTGGCTGACATGTATCGGCACGACCCCATCGTGGTGCAGATGAGCATCATGCCCATCCCACGCGTACTCTTCGAACGAGACTTCGCCGTCGAGGTCAGCGAGGTCAGCCAGACAGGCAGTCAGTCAGTCCATCGACCAGTCCAGTCAGCAAACAGATAGATAACCACACGACGTGTGCACAGTTAATCCCCTTTGTAATTCTCTTTGTCGGCTGTGTTTGTCTGTCTGTCTGTCTTTGCAGGAGGAGTCCCACCTGCGCCACCGTCTGATATGCGTGCGGCTCTTCAACGACGCCGTCGAGGTCGTCGGCTGCATCGCCATTCGGATTTGGATGTGGCTGTCAAGTAAACACACAGATGCCACCCACCCATCCACACACCTGTCTGTCTGCCTTTCTGTGTGCGTCAGTGGCTGATCTGCTCAAGGAGGTCAAGAGACGCGTCACGCCAGGCAAACCATCTACTTACACACACACACGCACACACACGCACACACACACAGAGAGAGAGAGACAGAAATGACAAGTGAATGGCCGTATGTATGTCTGTATGTCTGTGTGTGTGTCTTCCTGCAGAGATGATAGCTCGTGGGTTCGACCCCAGCCGTCCGCTGCGTGTGTACCAGCCCAAGGACACTGGCACTCTGACCCTCCCGGGGTCCGTCATGACCAAGGTGGCTGAGCACCCCCTCGGCACCAATATGCAGGAGATCACAGACATCGACGACGGCCAGCCGCTCTCACACGTGCTCAACTGCATTGCCAAGCCGGGCCGCGACAACCCTTTCTACTGGCACTTGAGGGTCGAGCACGCAGACGACCCCGACACGGCCGAACGACTCGTCAAGGAGGAACTCAAAGTCAGTCACCCAGGCACAGGCTGAACGGACACACGCACAGAGAGAGAGAGAAACGTCGAGGCAAATGAGAATGAACATCATTGCGTGGGTGGTTGGTGTGCGCGTTGATCGATCAGCATGTGATGGTGGTGCATGCGAGTCCGCGCGAGAACAACCGGGCCTTCGGACACCAGTTCCTCATCACTATGGAGGTCGGTGGGTGGGTGGGCGGATGAACCAGGCAGTCTGGTTAACTGGACGATCTATCCACATACACACGCACACACGGACCACAACGGCCACCACAGTGGCAGCCGTCCCTACTTGTGTGTGTGTGTGTGTGTGTGTGTATGTTAGCGCGACGAGAGGGTTGGGTCGCTCAAGCAGCGCATCCAGAGGAAGGTCAAGCTGTCAGACAAAGAGTTCGCCAAGTACGGACACAAAGAGGGAAGGAGGGAGGGAAACACCCACGCCGCAGCATCAGTCACACACGGCCTTCCTGGCGTGGGTGTGCTGTGTCCTCCCTCCTTGTGTGCAGGTGGCGATTCTACAAGTGGGACCTCATACACAAGTCATTCCTCAGAGACGGTATGTCAAAGCACCTCCTACACACACACACACACACACACAGAGAGAGAGAGAGAGAGAGCCTTCATTCCTCTCCCTCATTGGCTCCATGTACGTGTGTGTATGTGTATGTGTTGGTTCATTCATTCATTCCTTCACTGATTGGTTGCACAGACGACACGCTCGACTGGAACGCCAAGGCACTCATGCTGCTCGGTAGAGACACACACACACACACACACACAGACAGAGAGAGAGAGAGGGAGAGGGAGAGGGAGAGAGAGAGAGGTGTATCTCATCAATGCATACGTATGCGTGTGATGTGATGTGATGTGTGTGTGATTGACAAACGTACATGTGTGCACTCACTGGCTGCAGCTGAGCACGACAACCCCAACTCCCGCACACACCAGGCGCGGCGTGACAGGCCCCTCAGGATACGATGAAGAAAGGAATGAAGGAATGAAGGAATGAAGGAATGAAGGAATGAATGAAGGAAATGAGTGACGTGCCGTCCTGTGTCGCCCCCCACTCCCCCCTTTGCTTTAAGGTGCCTCCCTGCCTCCCTGTCCGCCTGTCTGTCTGTCTGTCTGCGTGTGCGGTGGATAGCTAGTCAGTCCTCGGTGGCCTCTCTGTCTGAGTGATGCATGCAAGTATTCTGTCTGCATGTAGCTACGGACACACTGTGTATGGCCCCTCCTTTGTCGTTCTCTTGCTGCCTGTCTGCCTACCTGTCTCCCTGCCTGCGTGCCAGTCTGGGGCTTTTTTGGGCCAGTCAATGGACGGACGACTGGGGGATTCATTCATTCATCGATTCATTACATGCTCATACAGACATACAGACACCCACACACGTGACGCGACGAGACGACCGACACCCAAGGGGGGCGGAGGGTCGTCTCTCTCTACCTAGCTGTCTGTCTGTCTGTCTGTCTGTGTACATACAGATGGCCCGCCAACCCACCGATCCATCCATCCATTAATTGACTCATTCTCTGACACAGACAGGCACACGGGCTGGGAACAACCCGTGCACAATCTCTCTCTCTCTCTCTTTCTCTCTCTGTGTGTGTGGCTTTTCAAGGAATAGATGGATACAACAATGCAACGGAGGAAGGCGTCCCCATCCGTAAGTACGTCCCTATGCCTATGCCTATGCCTATGTGTGTGTGTGTGGGGGTACATTTATGTATGTATTCATCGGCGGCCAGCCATCCAGCCATCAGCCATGCACGACAGACAGACAGCCCGGCTATCGGTCTCTACAGTCGATCAGTCAATCGATGACTTTCAACCCTGTGTAGGTAGGTAGGCAGGCAGGCAGGTAGACACAAAGAGAGACAGACAGACAGACGGCCGTACAATGACAGGTCAGAGGGTTCTTTTCAATTGCGGCATACGAACCAACGACCAGCAGTGGCGGACGGATGGGCGTGCGGGCGAGTAGCCGACGCGCGTAGCCGGCTCTCCATTGCGTTGCGTTGCCCCCCTCCCCGGGCCCCTCCCTCTCTATTTGTGACGGTTTCACCGATCGAGTGTGAGCGTGCGGGGGTCATGCGAGCAGGGAGGCACAGCCGAGATGGATGGATGAGTGGATGGGTGGGCTTGCTGCAGGCCTGTACCATACTGACTGATAGACATCAACCATTCCAATCAAAACCACCCGTGGGTGGGTGACATCATTGTCATGCTGTTTGGGTCTCAGAGAGAGAGGGAGAGAGGGAGTCCGGTGCAGGTGTGCCATTTGACAGCCTGCCTGCCTGAGCGGTTGTGGCGGTGGTGGGTGGGTACGTAAGGGGAGGGCTGAGGGTGTGGGGTACATGTGCCGTTTTGTCAGATGCACGTGCATGCTTGGATGGATGGATGGACGATGGATGGATTGCATGAATGAATGAACAAATACACTCAGTGGCCCGTGGCATGCTATCTACCTATTCTACGGTTCTATCTATCACTCTATCTACTCAGTGTTTGCTCATGCATGTGGGAGGCGACCAGATTTTATAAGTCTGTCTGCCTACCTGCCTGCGTGCCTGTATGTATGTTGTTGGCTGGTTCACGCACGCGCACACTCGCCCCCTCCCTCCCTCCCTCGCTCATCGATTGAGGCGCTCATCGATTGAGGCCTGCCTTGCTGGCTTCCCTCCCTCCCTCTTGTGTGCACGTGTGTCTATGCCTTTCTCTCTCTCCCTCCCTCCTTGTGTGCCTGCCTGCTATTTGTATGCATCAAGATGCGTGTGTGTGTGTGTGTGTGGTTTGCGTCCATGTCTGTGTGTGTGTCTGACTGACAAGTCCAGCTGTGTGTGTGATCGTGTCTGTTTCTGTCAATCAATCAATGAGTGTACGCGTGAGCCGAGGGCCCGGGCGAGTGTGTGGCATCGTCAAAGAAACATCCTTTTGATGAGAAGAATTGTAGATACGGCATCCAAGAGGTCCCCAAAGAGGTCGGCAGCGGATTGTACTGCGTCGCAGTGCACGTATGTGGCGAAGAGGAATCCTTGACTGACGACTGGAGCCACTGTCAGTCAGAACACCTGTTTCCTTGTTGGTTGCCACTTCATGCAGGACGTGAAGATCAAGATCCCCGTCGGCAAGGAATACGTCATTTCAACGCACCGGGTTGGGGAGGCATACTTCATTGCAAACGGATTCGTGGATTCAGTCCACATCAAATACAGCGAGGAAGAAGAAAAAACCTACTGGTTCAAGTGGCTTAGTAGAGCGACACACATGCACAGCCACTGAGAGACACTGAAGACGATATGTGGATGTGCACACATGCACACCGCAGGCGCTGCGGCGTGGAAGTCCACCCCAAACCCTAAGTCCACCCGCGCCTTCGTTGAAACAGGTACAAGGCCGACAAATGGAGGGCGCTCGAGTGGTATACGCTGTTTGTGTGTGTCCGTGGCCCATACAGGTGCATCTGCTGAGTTGTCGTCTGCTGCCCGTCTGCGGCTTTCGCTGGTCCAGCAGAAGATGCAGCACGGCAAGGCCATGTACAAGGCCGCCATAGCAATGCACGAGGCCGCCATAGCGACGCACGCGGCCGCCATTGACATCATCGAGACCGCCGAGCGCCAGCTGGGCGCCATCGACACGGGGGCCAACGGAGGCGCATTCATCCAACACACACAGCAGACCGAAGGTATATAAAGCCACTCATCTTGACGCCACATGCATGTGGATATGCACTTACTTACGGGCTGCCTGTGTGTGTGTGTGCAGGTAACGCGCAAGCAGTTTAAGATCAAGGAGCACTGCAAAGCTCCCTCTGCCTCCAGTGTGGGCGCCCAATGCACACATTCGATCGTGCGACTACATGAAAGGATGCTTCTGTGACGAATACTACCCTTAGCTCGCTACCGGAAGGAGAGGAATGGTAACACGACCATAGGGACCAACCATTGTATGTGGGTATCTATGGGACACACACAGGGGTGGGTGCCATGAAAGGGGTCCGTCCGTCCGTCCATCCATGGGCGACCTTGTTTTCTTCGCTCTGTGTGTGTGTGTGGGGGGGGGGGGGGGGGC